GGCGTAGTGCGTGCGTGTTAGCACAGTGTATGGCGGAGGGGAGGGGAGGAGCTGGGGGGCTGGCACTGTGCATAGGGCAGTTGTGAGTTGTGCATGGACTTGGGGTGCAGATAGGGCTGTGTGGTGTTGGAGCTGAGGGGAGCTGGCTCTGATGGTAAGAGGCAGGACCTATGCTGTCCAGCTGGGTCTCAGCTGCTTCCCTTGCTGTGGGGCAAGGTGAACTGGGGGCAGGGTTGATACAAAGATGGGGCTGCAGGGTGCAGCTCTGGAAAGGGGTCTTTTCAGGAGGAGCTGGGAGGGAACTGACCGGCTAGGTGTGAGGGGACCAAATTCTGAGGGGTCTGCTGGGAAATCCTGTAGGGAGGCACTGTAGGGAGTGCATGTCCTGTAGGGAGGCACTACCTGTTCCTTTCCTGTCTCGTCATCCTGTAACATCCCTCTCCTCTCTATAGGGGCTGACGCATGCACTGCATCCATCAAGATTCAATTCCAGCTTCCACCATGGCCTTCCAGCCTCAGCCCCTGCACCCTCCATTTCCCTGCACCCCCTCCAATGGCAGTAGGGAGGATGGGGCTGGGCAGCTGTCTGGTGGCCCTGAGTCAGGTCTGTGCTCTGGGGAAGAGGAGCTGAGTGGAGGTGGGATGTTTGGGCTTGGAGGGAGGGGTGGCAGAGTTCCTAATATTTCCCTGGAGTGAGAGGTGGGGGAAAAGGTGGGGCAGGAAGTGTCACAGTTCAGGTGACACCAGGGAAGGATATCAGGAAATGGGGTGTGGGGTGCTAGCTCTGATCTACCTTGAGCCTGGGGGCCTTTGCTAGTTTAGGTAATGGGGAGTGGGATACGGGGCTTCTTCCCTCTAAGGGGCGTTGTCTCTGATTCTGCGTGAGGGTGGGAAGCAGGGTCATGGGGCTGAGACCTTGATCACTTCCACTATTTTGAGGTCCATCTATGAGACAGGTTTGAGTTCTCACTCTGGTACTGCCTTCACAGAACCCCCTTTGATACTGAGCACAGGCCCTGGACAGTTGTGGACAGCCCTGGACAGGGCTCCTCCCTTGCAGCCCATGGTCATGGTGCTAGACCACTCTCCTGTGGCGGGGGAGGCCGTCATTGCCTCTTCCGTGAGGTTTGCCTCTGAGGCACACTCCCACCCCTTCTCTCCCTGCAGGTGACACTCGCCCAAAACCTCCGGTCAGGCCTAAACCCCGCGTGCTGCCCAAGCCAGCTGTGCCAGCGAAGCCCTGTACCCCGTTGCCGTCCCTTGGGGTGCGAAACACCCGTACCGAGCTGCCTTCTGCTGAGAAGATCAACCGCTTGGCAGGTCCTAAGCCATACGGTGCTGGGGTCAGCAGTGTTGTTAAGCGCCCCGCTTTCAGCCTCAAGAGCTCCATGGGAGAGGCCACCAATGGGAAAAGGGGTTCTTCTCCCACACCTGGCGCCAGGGTTCTGGCTTCAGCAGTGCTCACAGCTGAAGATCTGCCTTGCATACCAGGGGAGGAAGGAAGGTCTTCTTCTCCCGTGATGCCGCAGGCTGTGGGACTCCTGGGGACCCGCAAAGTGACCTCTCCCTTCAAGGTGAAACCAGTGCCAGTGGCAACCAAGCCAGAGCGCTTCCCTGGCACCACAGTGGAGGAGATCCTAGCCAAGATGGACCAACCTCGCAAGGAGGGGCCGCTCAGCCCTGACAGGGCTTGGGCCCTGCGTTCTTTCAGCTCTGACAGTGGCTCCTACTTCACGCCCAAGGGCTTCACTGCCTTTTGGAGACGTGCCAGCAGTGAGGAGGTGGGCGAGAGTGACACCACCTTCATCTTTGAAGCTTCCAGGGACTCCCTGCCTCCTGAAGCTCTGGAGAGCAAAGAGCCTCCCAGGAATGAGTTGGGCTCCCTTCCCTCTTCCTCCTGCCCATGCCCAAGTTCTAATGGACAGCACTTGCTCGAGCCCCCAGATGGAGCAGCAGAGAGCGACTCTGACACCGTGCCTACGACAAGGTGAGGGGCAGGTGGCCCTGGGGGGTAGGGGGCAGAGGACTGTTGCTAGCTTTCCAGGGTTACATTGCCTGTTCTTGCATGGGTTGGTATGAAAGTAACTTTGCATTGAATTGTGAGTAACTGGAAATAGGTAGAAACTTGGTGGTGGGGCTGAGGCAGGTCTCCTCTGAGGGGAATCGGACAGAACTCAAGCAAGGGGATTATAGTCTCCTGTTTATGCCCTGGGTAAAACAGCACTCGTTGGCTGGCACCTGCAGCTGCACAGGAAGGGGCAAAAGCCCTGCAGTAGTCAGCATGGGCTCATCTGTGCCCCACATGTTAGCCCTCTCCTGATTCCTCCAAGATTGGCGTACACTGTCAAGCAGGGGGTTGAATACGCATTCCAGGATGCATGTAGCATTCCCCATGACAGCTTTATTTCTGCTGCCCACAGAAAAAGTTCTCTTTTGTACAGGAACCAGCTATCCTGGCACAAGCAAATTTAGAAGTGCTGTGATGCTCGGGTCAGAGGCTCAGGCACTATAGCTAGAATGGTGGGGAAAAAAATCCAACCCCAGATCTACTGGGGAAACCACACCACAGGTAACTTGGCTTTAAACCCAGCTGGGAACATCCACAAGGGTCTTTTGTACCAAATCTCACATTGGGTGGCTCTGTTAGAGCAGAGTCATGTTGCATGGTTGGCCCAGGGAGTGCTTTGTCTTAGAGTATCTCTGAGGCCAGGTGCTCAGCTCCTGTCACCAAGGAGTCACCTGCTCGGTGAGTTAATCAGTGGACAAGACTTTGCTTCATCTGGAGTTGCCAGGAAGGGTGCTTAGCTGAACCCAAGTGAGCCACTTTGGTCTTGTCCACCTTCACTGGCCTCTGCTGGCAGCTGTCACTGCCAAGCCACCAGTGCTGCACCTTGTTTCTGCTAGCCTGTTGCAGTCCCAGTGGGACAGGCAACAGTTGGCGGAGGGGCTGCAGCATCTAGCAGGTGTGGGAGCATATAACCATACTTATTGCCATCAGAAGCCTTTCTCTCTAAGCAGAAGTGGCATAACTCTGCTAGCAGGAAGAGGGTCCTGTTGCAATGGAAGGATGGCCTGTATGGAGGTTCTGCTATTAATTTTTTGCAGTGGGACCAGGGCTTCCTAAGGGGAGCACTGCACCCCTGGTAGGCACAACATAACTCAGCAGGCAGGTTCTCCTGCTGTACTAGTAGAGCCACCACCTGGAATGACCAGCTGTCAGCTGTCTTAACAGAAAGACTTTTCCCCCTGGTTTAAGTTGTGTCTACATAGCGGAGGAAGATTTTTGACAGAGTGCTGTCAGTTGGGGAAGGATGACTTTTTCATGTTCCTAACTGACAGTGCTATATTAGCAAAACTTTGTCACTTAAATCTGCTCTGTATGTCCATGCTGTGTTCTGTCCCTGAAAGCCTGGGTTCTGTGCTGTGCAGGTGTGGGTTTTTATAGAATCATAGAAAATTTGGGTTGGAAGGGACCTCAGGGGGGGCATCTAGTTCAATACTCTGCTCAAAGCAGGGCCATCCCCAACTATATCATCCCAGCCAAAGCTTTGTCTACCTAGGTCTTAAAAACCTCCAAGGATGGAGATTCTACAACCTTTCTGGGTAACGCATTCTGGTAGCTTATTACCCTCCTCATGCTGAAGTTTTTCCTAATATCTAATCTAAACTTCCCTTGCTGCAACTTGATGCCTAGCTCCCTGTTCTGTCATCTGCCACTATTGAGAACAGTCTAGCTCCATCCTTTTTGGAACCACCCTTCAGGTGGTTGAAGGCTGTTATTAAATCCCCCCTCAGTTGTCTTCTCTCCAGACTAAATAAGCCCAGTTCCCATCAGCCTTTCCTCAGAAGTCATGTGCCCCAGCCAACTAGCCATTTTTGTTGTCCTCTGCTCTACTGTCTCCAATTTGTCTACATCCTATCTGTAGTGGCGAGCCCAAAATTGGACACAGTACTCGTGCTGTGGCCTCACCAGTGCAGAATAGAGGGGAATAATCTCTTCCCTCAATCTGCTGGCAACACTCCTACTAATTCCACCCAGTATGCCGTTAGTCTTCTTCGCAGCAATGGTACGCTGTTGGCTCATATTCTGCTTATTCCCCACTGTAACCCCCACATCGTTTTCTGAAGAGCTGCTGCTTAACCAGTTGGTCCCCAGCCTTGTCCTACTGCTTTGAAGAGGCAGGGGCTGGGGGGATGCAGTGAGGGAAGGTGGGACTGGGTTTGGGCATGGGAAAAGGTTTGAGACAGGGAAGGTCCTATGCTGGAGTGAGAAGACATGTGGAAAGTCAGTCATAGGCAGCAGCCGAATTTGGTACAGGAGGGATTTGGCCTGGAAGGTAGGTGTGAAGGTCCATGGAATGGAGAAAAAGGAGACCCATCCAAAGGCAGGGTGGTAGGCAAGAGGTGGATCCTGGTGAGACTGGAGTGGGGAAGAGAGAATGGGGGCAGGAAAGCTGGGATGAGAGGATGGGCGGGGACTCGGTGAGTTAATCAGTGGACAAGACTTTGCTTCATCTGGAGTTGCCAGGAAGGGTGCTTAGCTGAACCCAAGTGAGCCACTTTGGTCTTGTCCACCTTCACTGGCCTCTGCTGGCAGCTGTCACTGCCAAGCCACCAGTGCTGCACCTTGTTTCTGCTAGCCTGTTGCAGTCCCAGTGGGACAGGCAACAGTTGGCGGAGGGGCTGCAGCATCTAGCAGGTGTGGGAGCATATAACCATACTTATTGCCATCAGAAGCCTTTCTCTCTAAGCAGAAGTGGCATAACTCTGCTAGCAGGAAGAGGGTCCTGTTGCAATGGAAGGATGGCCTGTATGGAGGTTCTGCTATTAATTTTTTGCAGTGGGACCAGGGCTTCCTAAGGGGAGCACTGCACCCCTGGTAGGCACAACATAACTCAGCAGGCAGGTTCTCCTGCTGTACTAGTAGAGCCACCACCTGGAATGACCAGCTGTCAGCTGTCTTAACAGAAAGACTTTTCCCCCTGGTTTAAGTTGTGTCTACATAGCGGAGGAAGATTTTTGACAGAGTGCTGTCAGTTGGGGAAGGATGACTTTTTCATGTTCCTAACTGACAGTGCTATATTAGCAAAACTTTGTCACTTAAATCTGCTCTGTATGTCCATGCTGTGTTCTGTCCCTGAAAGCCTGGGTTCTGTGCTGTGCAGGTGTGGGTTTTTATAGAATCATAGAAAATTTGGGTTGGAAGGGACCTCAGGGGGGGCATCTAGTTCAATACTCTGCTCAAAGCAGGGCCATCCCCAACTATATCATCCCAGCCAAAGCTTTGTCTACCTAGGTCTTAAAAACCTCCAAGGATGGAGATTCTACAACCTTTCTGGGTAACGCATTCTGGTAGCTTATTACCCTCCTCATGCTGAAGTTTTTCCTAATATCTAATCTAAACTTCCCTTGCTGCAACTTGATGCCTAGCTCCCTGTTCTGTCATCTGCCACTATTGAGAACAGTCTAGCTCCATCCTTTTTGGAACCACCCTTCAGGTGGTTGAAGGCTGTTATTAAATCCCCCCTCAGTTGTCTTCTCTCCAGACTAAATAAGCCCAGTTCCCATCAGCCTTTCCTCAGAAGTCATGTGCCCCAGCCAACTAGCCATTTTTGTTGTCCTCTGCTCTACTGTCTCCAATTTGTCTACATCCTATCTGTAGTGGCGAGCCCAAAATTGGACACAGTACTCGTGCTGTGGCCTCACCAGTGCAGAATAGAGGGGAATAATCTCTTCCCTCAATCTGCTGGCAACACTCCTACTAATTCCACCCAGTATGCCGTTAGTCTTCTTCGCAGCAATGGTACGCTGTTGGCTCATATTCTGCTTATTCCCCACTGTAACCCCCACATCGTTTTCTGAAGAGCTGCTGCTTAACCAGTTGGTCCCCAGCCTTGTCCTACTGCTTTGAAGAGGCAGGGGCTGGGGGGATGCAGTGAGGGAAGGTGGGACTGGGTTTGGGCATGGGAAAAGGTTTGAGACAGGGAAGGTCCTATGCTGGAGTGAGAAGACATGTGGAAAGTCAGTCATAGGCAGCAGCCGAATTTGGTACAGGAGGGATTTGGCCTGGAAGGTAGGTGTGAAGGTCCATGGAATGGAGAAAAAGGAGACCCATCCAAAGGCAGGGTGGTAGGCAAGAGGTGGATCCTGGTGAGACTGGAGAGGGACAGAGAAAGTAACATTGTGGTTTGATTAGTGAGGAAAGCTGGGATGAGAGGTTGGGCGGGGAGCTGGTGTGGAGTGGGGTTCTAGCTCCACACAGTGTAGCTCACACCCAAAGGAAATGTGTAGCAGGGCCTAGAAGAGACCCTTGACCTCCTCGGTTGGAAAGAGATCCCCAGAGAGCCATGCCTCCTCTCTCTCCAGCCAGTGCAGGGCTCTCAGGGGTCTGAGCAGGAGGGGTCCTGGCTGCCTGCTCCAGATAGTAACCCCCATGCTTCACTTTTCTTTCCTCAGAGCCTCCCCAGCCAGCACCAGCTGTGACGGAGATCCATCAGGACACAGAAGGCTGCTGTCCACCCCTGGTGTGAGTTCTCAACTTGGCCCCCACAGCGCGGCATCTGCTCTACTGGGCTCTCTCCTTCAGTGCTCTCCTGTCTCCTCCTGGGCTCCCTCCCTCTGGGGTGCGTTTCTCTTTTCTTCTTTCTCTGCCAGGCAGTAGGGAACTGGCTTCTGCATCTCTTCCTTTCGCCCCCAATCTAGGACTGGTGGGATATTGGGAGCTCAGATGTCCTGCACAGGGCTGTGAGGATCTCAGGCCCACTCAGGCTTCATTGCTGTAGTGATGGGAAGGAAGCAGGAGAGCAGGCCAGTGCACAAGCCAGAGTCTCTTGGAAGAAGTGTGTAGGCTGGGCCCAGTCCCCTTGGCTCTCTCAGCCCTGTCCAATGCTGGGATCTCAGCGTTATCTTCTCAGCCTGGCTCTGAACAGTGAGCAGCAGTGACTCACTGCATTGCGCTCAGTGACCCAACAGGTATGCAGTGTGAGGGTGCGTCCCTCCGGGCCCACTGCCAAACCCCCTTGGCACTGAGGGTGGGGCAGGACAGGATGGGAAAGCCCCTCTTCTTGCCCTCCTCTCTGCCAAGGAGATAAGAACCAGCAAGAAATTAACTATTAACTCCCTTCCCCTCACACTTGGTGATGGGCGGGGGTCCTGGTTTTCCCTGATAAAAAATTGCAAATTCTCTGATTAAAAACCCCAAAATCTATGATTAAAATGAAAGGCCCCCCTGCCCTGCTGGAATGGGTCTTCAGCTGTCAGAGCTACTGGGCCATGGACCTGGGTCCACAGCCCTATACCCCCAGCAGAAGGTGGCAGCTGCTGCAGCAGAGCAGAGCCTGGCTTTCCCCCACTGCTGCCTGTCTGCTACAGGCTTGGGTGGGGTGGGGCCAGCTCCCCGCCACTGTGCATACTCTTGGGGGAGCAGGGGAGATTGGTGCCCCTAAGATCTATGTGTGGGGATGAGTGCAGGCTCAGGCTCCTGCCCTCCCCCAGGGCCTCTGCAGCCTGGCAGGTATGACCCAGCATTGCAGGGCAAAGTAGGTCCCTGAAGGGAAGCTGCTTGCTGCTGCGAGCTCCGTGCTGCCCTGGCAAAGCGTTCTCTGCCCTGGCAAAGCAGTGGGGGCGGCAGTGCAGGGTTGTGCCCCTCACTGCTGCCACGCATGCAGGGGATGTGTCTCGAGGGCAGTGCAGAACTTGCAGTGGCAAGCACCTTTCCTGCTCAGTCCTGCTGTGCCTTTCAGTGCCAGGCTGCACCCACTGAGCTGAAGATGCCCTGGGGGAAGGCAGCAGGGTGGGAGCCCGAACCTGCAACAGGCAGACTGTGCCCATCTCCCCCCAACCCCCGTGGACAGATCTGGGGGGCACGGGTCTTCCCTGCCCCCACAGGAGTGTGCGCAGTTGCAGGAGCCAGCCTCACACCCAGCCCCCTGGACAAGTCGCTCACAGCCCCGGGCCCCAAGCCCCACACACTGCCCAGCTGGGCAGCAGCCCGAGCCCTGCCCAATTCCCTCCCTCACCACCCTTACCTGCAAGGAGCTGCTCTCCAGGCTGCCTCGGAGCATGTGCATATACATGCACATGTCCTCTGCCTGACCGCTGTCTACCTGCTCCCCCCAGCCCCTTGCAGGCTGGAACTCTGCCAGCCTGCAGAGAGCTCTTTGCTAAATCCACAGGTTTCTCTGTTAAAATAAGAAATCTGCATTTTCCTCCAGTACAAGGGAAAATGTGCGTTTTGCTCCGTTTTCCTATGGGAAACTGAAAACCTGGATCCCTGGTGATATGCGACTGATTCTCCAGCCCCCCTTGGGGTTGCCATCTTGGCCTGTCTGACTGGGAATGGGGGAGCAGGAGCCCTGTAGGCCAGTGTGTCCACTCTGCTGCCACAATAATAGCTTTCTCTTGCTTTATTCTCTTCCTCCTCCTCTTCCTCCTGTTTCTGCCTGTTGTTTCCTCCCTGCTATATCAGAGGATGTTGGGGGCCCTCCCGGAGAGGGAGTTAAGATGCAGGCAGTGGCTAGGCCTGGGTGGGAACCTGCAAACAAGGCTGAGTGAGGGGTGTGGGCAATGAGGCATGATCATGGCTGCAGGGATCCTGGAGATGCAGGGAGAGAGAGAGGAGTAGAGATGGGGAGCGGCAGCCCCAAGGGAAGTTAGTAACTGTCAGGGCTGAGTCACATAGGGAATTTCCTTGTGGCCCTTGCATTTCACATTGAGACGCTCCCTGCAGGGAAAGGGTGGGGGCAGCAGGGCATCTCTTGCCCCTGCTGTTGGATTCTAACAGACTGATCAAGGTCCTGCACAGGTGGGGCGAGGGGCAAAGCTTGGTATGGACAGGAGTGGGTAATAGGGGTTAGCTGGAGCTGTACCAGGAGATGGGGGAAATGGGTCTGTGAGGTGGTGGTTGGGCTGGCTTGGGGTGCAGAAGGTGTGGTGGGTATTAGAGCTGTCCTTGGAGGTCACTCATATGGGGGTGCTGAGGCCTGGCCTGGTACAGGTTATTGCTTATTATACCCAATTTCTTGCTTTTCCCACAGGTCTCCCTTCTGCAGATCTGCTCAGTCCCTGCTGCTGCTGTTGAGCTCCCTGACCAAACAGCCCCTGGCTCTCCTAGTGTTTCTGCCAACCCCTCTCAGGCCCCAGGGCCCCCCTATATCTCTCATGAACTCCTGGCCCAAGCACTGGGCTTCCCTGATGCCCTTGCTGAACTCCCAGCCCCAGGTGTGCCTGGCATCCCTGCCAGTGTCACTCCTGGGTCCCCTGGCACCCCTTCTGAGCTTCAGGTGAAGGTTTCTGTTAGTCTTGCCCAGGCCCCAGGTGCCCCTGATGCTGCAGCTGAGACCTGTCCTGGGGTATCCCATTTACTAGGGTCACCTGAGGGTCCTGGTGAGACATCTCCAGGCAGCAACAGTCCCCCAGCACCAGGAACCCCCGACACCCCCTCTGAACTCCTCCCCAAGGTCACCTCCTCTCCAGGGTCCCCTGAAGCTCCTTCCCAGTCTCTAACCACCTCCAGTCTAGCTGAGGAGCTCCCCAGAGTCTCCCAGTCCCCAGGATCCCCAGAGGCACCCACCCAGTCCCCAGGGTCCCCTGATAGCTTGCCAGGTCCTGAACGCAGCTCCCCTCCACTCTCTGGGGACACCAAGCCATACACAGGCCCTGTGGAGTTGTCCCTGCCTGATGATGAGAGGAGGGTCCAGCCCCCGCAGTTGGGGCTCCGGCGCTCCTCGGAAGGGATAGTGCAGCCGTCTGCCGAGGGGCTGGGCATGGAAGAACTGGGAGGCTCATTGGCTGCCTTGTCCCAGGGAAGGGGTCCTCCCTCAGAGCAGTCCTTGGGAGGCGAGTCAAATTGGAGCCTGTCGCAGTCATTTGAGTGGGCCTTCCCCTCCCGGGCTCCTGAGTGGGGGGTGAGGAAAATGGAGTCATCTCCCAGGTCCCCCATCAAAGAGGCCAGTGATTCCAGCATCTCTGAGGGAGGGGAATTGGATGGGGAAGGTTTGGTCTGTCCTGGTACAGCCCCAAGCCCTGAAGGGTCTGGCATGGGAGCAGAAGAATTGAGGCAAGGAGACCCCAGCACTGAACTGGGGAGTGAGAGAGGAGATCAGCCTGATGCTGGTAGACATACTGGGAGCACAGAGGCCCCCAGTGAGGTGGGAGAGATCAAGGCAGAGGAGTCTGGGAGCAGGGAAATGGTAGCTGGGAAAGCAGGGGAGGCAGAGGCCACGTGTCCTGGTGGCCCCACAGCACAAAGGGAGCTAGCTGTAGCTGAGCTGAAGGGCCCTGGGGCAGAGGGGGACACTCTTCAGGAGGAGCAGGGCACACTGCCGGTCCGTTCTGCTCTTCATCTGACGGAGCCACTCCAAGCTCTAGAGCAGGCTGAGCCCTCTACACAGCCCTGTGTCCTCTTCTCTGATACTGTTCACCTGGACAAGGCTGCCTTCTCCTGGGAGGATGACTCAACACTGGGCCTAGCCCAAGCAGGGCCTGCCCTTGAGAGCATGGAGGGTGCAAGGCTGGAGCCAGGAGTGGGAGATGCCGACCCACTGGGGGGTTCTGAGTCCCACTCTGATCCGTGCTGGCTGGAGGAGCTGCTGGCATCACCCCCACCCAGTGCTGATGACACTAAGAGGAAGGTGGTGCCCACACCTGGAGACTCTGAGGGGTCTGAGGTAAAGCAGTGACAGTGGCTGCCTGTTGGGTGAGGGGCAGGAGCAGGGGAGTTGAGCAGGGCATTCCCCTGGGTGTGTGTGGGGTGAGTATGTCTCTGGTGCTTGGTGAGAGGGTGCTCCTGCATGTAGGAGAAGCTTCTGTGGAGTCAGAAGGGTGCTTCCTCCCCAGCATTTCAAAGGTTGGAGGGGGTGAGGGGGGAAGTTGCCCTGGCACCAGTAGGAGGTGAGGTGACTTTCTCCAGGTGTATTGGAGTCAAGAGGAAGTTTTTCTAGAGGTCATGTCTCTGGCACCCGTAGGCAACACTCTTCTGTGGGAGAGGGCATGGGGATAGATGTGAGGCTCCCCTTTCAGTCCGCACATGCAGCGGGGCTGTAATGGGTTAATCCCTGCCTGGCGGCAGTGGGTGGGTGTGCCATGCTGAATGAGCCAGGCTTGGTCCCAGGCAGCCAAGCCCTGAGCGAGTGTGTGCACAGAGTAGTTGGACAGGTTGTGTGGAGGCAGAGCAGGAACGTGCTGGGGGAATGGGGGTGGGGTGAAGCACAGAAGGTAGCTGTAGCGCAGCCTGCTGCACGCTCCCCCACCACCTCTCTTGGCTTTCCCTTCTGGGGCATACGGGAGCCCCCAGTTTGGCACAGCCATGGACAGGGATGGTGGTAGGATATCAATCCTTCAGAGGCTCTTGGCTAACTTGGAGCTGCGGGATGAGGCTGGGCGTGTCCGGCACTCAGAGCGGTTGAGTGCTCCCTGGATGGGCACAGCATCTGTGAGTACACAGAAAGATCGTGCCTTCTGGCCTCCTGGCAGCTGGGCTTGGGGTCCTGCTGCAGAGGGCAAGGGATCCCAATGGTCTCTGCTGCTGCCCTGCTAGCATGCCCTATTCCTCCAGGTTTTCTGGTGATGGGCAGGAGGGCTTGCAAGAGGTGAAGAGGCTGGGGACATACCACAGGAGCTGATGAACCACAGCCCTCCAGAATAGCCTTGTGGAGGTTACACTCAGAAACAGGATGCCTTCCCATCCAGGAGGGGTGGGGGGGGGAACAGGTGATGCTGGGGGTCAGGAGGGGGCCTCTTCACGCTCCCTTCCACAGGTTAACCTGGAACCCCACTGCTACAGCTCCACCTGGGAAAGTACTTAAGAGGGAGTGCTTCAAGCTCAAGGGAGTGCCACAAACCCAAGGCGAGTCCTCTTCCTTCCTGTCCCATAGCAAGGCTGCTTTGGGGTGGAGGGGACAGGACTGTCCCAGCTGGGTCTCCACGTTCATTCTTGTCCCAAATTCCCTTTTCGTCTAAATCACCTGTCTCCCTCCCTTTCTGCACAGGGTCTCCTTGGCTGGTCGCGGAAGGACCTGCACAGTGAGTTTGGCATTGGAGAGGCCCGCCAGGTCAGTGACTTCGACTGGGCCAGTGAGCCTGGCTCTGGGAAGAGAGACTGGCCCAGTGGGTATGGAGCAAGCGAGACTGAACAGGACCGGGCTTTTGGCACCAGTAAACGCGACTGGGCCAGTGCATACAGCATTAGTGAAGCTGATCGGCAGGATGGGGTGTTTGGTGTCAACGGGAAGGAGTGGGCCAGTGAGTACAAAGGGACAGAGGTAATGGGGGATTCCAGCACTGGGCACAGAGACTGGCCTGACACTTATGGCCTTGGGGATGGCCAGCATCAGGATGGAGACTTGAGCACTTCCAAGCCAGACTGGACCAGTCAGTACAGCATTGGCAGCACTGACAGCCAGGGTATGGAATTTGGCACTGGGAAGCCAAACTGGACCAGCAGCTATGGTATTGCAAGTGGTAACCAGCAAGACGAGGAGTTCAGTTCTGGTAAGCCAAGTTGGACCAGTGAGTATGGTGTGCGTGATATCGGCCAGCAGGACAAGGACTTTGATGTTGGGAAGTCAGGCTGGACCAGTGAGTATGCCATGGGTGACACCAGCCAGCAGGACAAGGAGTTCAGTCCCAGCAAGCCAGCATGGACCAGTGAATACAGTGAGAGTGATGCCAGCCAGCAGGACAAGGAGTTCAGTCCCAGCAAGCCAAGTTGGACTAGTGAGTACAGTGTGGGTGACAGCAGCCAGCAGGGCAAGGAGTTCAGTCCCAGCAAGCCAAGTTGGACTAGTGAGTATGGTGCGGGTGACACCAGTCAGCAGGACAAGGAGTTCAGTCCCAGCAAGCCAAGTTGGACTAGTGAGTATGGTGTGGGTGACACCAGCCAGCAGGACAAGGACTTTGGTGTTGGGAAGTCTGGTTGGAATGGTAACTACGGTGTGGGCAACACTGAACAAAAGGAGAGGGAGTTTTGTACTGGGAATCAGGATTGGGCCAGCAAATATGGCCTTAGCTGTACAGACCAGGAGAGTGCCTTTTGCAGTGGAAGCAAAGACCAGTCTAGCATTGGGGATTCTTGTTGCCTAGGTCGAGAGCCCAGTGCTGAGAAATCTGGTTGGAGTGGCTCTAATCTCCAGGAGAACAAGTCTGCCACTAGTAGCAGAGACTGGGCTGTTGAATTCAGTGTTGGAGGGGCTGAGCACCAGAACCAGTTTGGCATCATAGGGACGGACAGGGACAGCAGCATTGGTTTAAGCACTTTGAATCCATCCAGCTCAGCTGGGACTGTTGGTCCAGCAGAGCTCAGAGAGAGCCAGTCTGATTGGGTTGGTGAAGAGGGGATTGCTGGCCCAGCGATGCCCCAAGAGACTGGAACAGGCCAGTCTGACTGGGCCCAGGATCTTGGCCTTAGACGCCTGGATATTTCCAGCAGCTGGGGAGCTGTGGGTTCTGATGACTGCACAGAGGGTGAAGTGGGACGGACAGACTGGGTCCAGGACCCTGTCACGAGCAGCCAGAATCCCTCTGATGGCCAGAGGCCTGAAGGCTTTGATATGTGCAGAGAGGAGCAGCTGGACTGGGCCCAGGACTTGAGCCCTATATTTGGCATAGGGAACACAGTTACTTTCAGCAGCTCACAGGCCAAGGGCCTGGACAAGACCAGTGAGGCTGGAGTGGAACGAACAGATGAGGCTGGTGACAGCGGGAGCGATGTCATGGAGCAAAGCCCTGACCTCAGCCTGCACATTGAGGAGCCGAGCATAGAAGATGGTGGAGACTCGGAGGATGGGTAAGGGCTATGCTGGGCATGTGAGGGTGGGGTGTAAGAGGGATGAACACCCCGGTTGGTGTCCTGGCTCCAGTAGTAGCTCTTTTCAGTGGGGCCTGTTGATGCTTAGAGTACTTGCTCCAGTTTAGGAAACCCATGGAGGGGACATCGGTATGGCTGAGAAGCTGTTTGGCTAAGCATGCATCTTATGGCAGGGAGTGCTGCTGCTGCGAGGCATCTGTGGGGAAGTTCCTCCCTGGGCCTTCTGCTGCGGACGTGGAGGACCATCTTGTGCTCACTCAGTCACGGTAACGGGGTCAGGCTGTCTGCTGTGCAGTATCCTCCAGGACCCCTTTCTCCTCTTCTGCAGCCTGCTTGGCTTTAGTGGGCATCCCTCCAGGCTGAGGTGTGTTGGTTGAGGTGGCCCAACTTGCCACTGACAGCAGGACCTGGCCTTTCCACCTACTTCCCCCATCCTGCACCTTTTCACATGTCCAGGTCCAGAAGAGGACAGGTGGACTGGACCAAAGCAATTTGATCTTGCTGTGGGGGAAGCCATGCTGCTTTGGGCCCTTTCCCTTGGCACTGCCTCTAATTCCCCACCTGCACCTCTTTCCCCCAGCCTTTGGGGACTATCTGGATACAGTGTTGAGAAATGTCTGCTATGTTAGCCCTGAGCCTTAGCTCTCTATCTTCCTCGCTCCCCGATGACTTCTTGCTGTGCCTTCTTCCACTCTCCCTGAGGACTGTTGCTGGCCTCATGCTGAAATATCCTGATTTCCTCTGAGTGGCCTGCTGAGGCCCTCAGGGCAGGGCACATTGGCTCTCAAGTAGGGCTTCCCCCTTGCCAGGCACTGGGGACCTGAGGACAGCCCTGCATCTTCCTGCTAGCCCCCAGCATGTAGAATGAGACCTGCCCCTCTCAGTCAGGAGCTGAAATTCTAGCGTATGAAGGTTTGACTGGAGTCACTGAGGGGTGATGTCATGGGCTTGGGAGTAGCTGTCTGGCTTTTGGTAATCATGGGAGCTGGCTGGAAGCCTGGGGCTGGGTGGGGCCCTGAGCACGCTCCCTCCATAGGCCTGACTGGCTAGTATGGCTTTGTATGGCTCTTGTTGCATTGCCCTGGCAGTGTCCTCTCCATAGGGCAGGCCAGGTCCTGGAGAGCTGACAGCCAAAGCATAGCATCCTGGCTCCATGCCCACAGCAAAGGGCAGTGCGCTGCTGTCCCATCCACTGCTGGGAGAATGCAAGCTTCCCCATTTCCTGTCCTCTCCGCAGCATTTGTTGTTCCCCCTGCTGGCTAATGTTCCCACCAGCATGACAGCCCCTGTGAAGAGCCTGCTGGAGTTGGAGGGGTTACTTGCCTGAGTAAGCCAGACTTTGGGCTTCTCCATGCCAGGCGATCCCTTTGCCAGCCCAAGTGAGCCCTGCCCCACCGGTGCCAGGGGGCTTCTCCATGCTGGCTGGATTTTCAAGTCTGTCCCTGTAGCTGGCTTGGCTCCCAGTATGGGCTGTGCATAACCTAAAGGGTGTAAAACTTATGTTCCCTGGGAACGGCTTCCACTTGGTTATTTTACACCCACTTCATGGTAGTGCTGCCTCCCAGCTAGTATTCCTGCCTCCCCAGAAGGGTTTTTTTTCCAGGCTTAGGATGCCTGAGCTTGGCCAAGAGGCAAGGAATTCTGTGAGCAGTATCTTTTATTGAGCCAACTGCATGGTCGGGAA